AACAAGTCAAATGTTAGCTTGACTTTAAGAAAGGCTATTTTTGAAAACAGCAGCACACACTGGAAACAAACAACGATAAAAATTTAAAGCTAATGATTACCTCTACGCAATTTGAGTCCTTTCATGTTTCCAACATGCCCTTTGGTTTTACAGGTAATTAGCAATGCTCTCATGAGAAACCAACGAGCTGTGAAAGAAACCTGTTTGTTAGTGAATGGAAAGCCCATTAGCTGTGGGACATAACAAGGGTCAAAAACCAAGCTGAGACCAACAACAGGTCTATTCTGAAGTCAGTACTTATGATAATTAGTGAGCACTTTGTGCTTTGATGTTATAAATGCAACAATTCGCTGTGATCTACTGAGGACAAACGTTAAAAAAACGGTTCTAAATTCACAAAAGAAAATCAATAATATGTCTTAGCTGTAATCAGTGTTGATTGCGCCAAGAACGAAACGCATCAGTAATGTTTGCAATAACAATTTGTCATCTGGTATCAATATGAATTCGTCATTTTGCAGGTGACGAGCGTACATCAGTTATTTTTAGGTTGTTTATCATCTGAGAAACGCTCTTCACCTGACTAAATGCTCAAGTAAATCAAAATATGTGTGCTTCACTCTTGTTGTACTTAAAATCGAGGCAAAGTTAACACAATTTTTAACCCAACAACAACCGGTTTGCCATTCTCAAATGTAAGGGACATTACGTTCTGGCTTAATGATAGCACTTTAATGTACAATAAATTACTTTCTATTTCAACAGTAGTGGGGTGGTATTATTCCCAGCACTAACACATTATTTAAATGAATTTAATTTCAATGGCCCTCAAACCTGGTCTCGGAAGGAGCATCAAAGAGGAATCAAAACTGAGTGTGATCCCTATGTAGACTACCACAGCAACCTCAGATGAAGGTGCCAATTAAAAAAAAAAAACTGAAAAAGAACAAGCAGGACTATTGTTCCTGGACTTTGTCCTTGGCTGGTGATTGTGTAAACATTCATTAACAACCAAACAGCAGCAGGCTTTTTTCATAAACAAATTGTATCTTCCTCTTGTGAATAAACACTGCCATTACAAGATGAAAGAACCCATATTGGATATGCTGAAATGTATGATGTCATACTGTTCTCCTAGATGATTTTATTTTTCTGGGCAAACAAGTGGTACTATTTTATACCCTGTTTAACAGAACTGTACCACTTAGTGGAAAAATGGTATTCAACCAGGGTCTAGGGTGAAGGCCTTGGCCCGCGGGTCGTATGTTTGACAACCTTGTTATAGTTTCTAGTTTAAACACACACAAAAAAAACAAACAAACAAAGAAAACAGTGCTTGATATATTCAACTTGGGTTTGTTTAGTTTAAACAGGTAGTATTTGAACCCTCTGTGTATTTTTATAGCTCTATATTTCTTCTTTGTGTTCCCAGTTGTGTTTGACTTCACGTTTTGTAGTTCCATTAGTAACCCTAGGTTGGGGTCCAAGGTTTTAGGAAGATAGGAGGATGGTACCTTATTCTATCTATTCTTACTCTATCTATCTATAAGAGAGGGTAGCAAACAGGAACCTCAAGTTTTGCTTCTCTCTTATGTGTTCATGTTCTAAAGCAGCGGTCATCCACCTTTTTTGGCTTGTGACCTCACTTAGACATCACAAATTTCTGGCAGCCGAAGAGACATTTTAGTAGCTGTCACTGTCGCAATTATGTGATGGCAGCCATCGATCATATATATATATATATGTATAAACTACATTTATATTCATGAGAGTTAAAGAATACAGTTGTTCAAGAAGAATCATAATTATAAAGAATAATATCTGTTGAGTGAAAAACTGTTAACTGTTAACTAAAGGCATATATCTCACCACTATTATTGCAGTTTCAGTGTAGTATTATTTGTGCTACCTGTATTTGTTGTTCTTATCATTACATAATCAGTCACTCTTACGTAAACATAAGAGTGCGTGGTCTGAGTTTTTTTTTTTTTTCAAATTTACAGAATGTTCTGATTCCATTTAATCGAAAACATGTTGAAGTACAGTAGGGCTCACAGTCCAAGCACACAGTCCAGTATTGAGTACTAGCATCATGCACTCTTACAAACAGCCCATATTTCCTGGTCTGTTTTTTTTTTCTTTTTTTCAGTAACACTCGGACTAGATGGGCAACTAAACAAACATCTGACTGAGGTGAAACGTACCCTGACAGTGTCACTTTCTGGTGCAGGAAGCTAATTAGCTGCTAAGCTACAGCACATTAAACAGCATGTAAAACCCACCTGCATACATCATTGGGGTCCAGGCTGGTTGCTCTTCATTCTGTCACATCAATGAGGGGGTAAAATGGTACTGCAGCAGGGCTCTAACTGTGTGCAGTTGACTGGACTCTCAAGAATAAATAATGCATGATTGTTTTTTATTGTTTTGCGCTCCGTTTAAATAAATATATTTATTTTTTCCGATTCACATAAAATGGCCGCAAGTACAAAGCAGTGAAGAAAATACTATAAATTGCATACATTTTAGGCTCTGTACAAAGAAAGTACTGTTTGGGTTCATATAGTTGTGAGTTACTGCTGAGCACGCAACAGCAGCAGCTCTGCTATAGTTATTTTCTTTTCCGCTTCATCTATTACATCATAGTAAATGTTGCTGAGTGAAAAAAGGTTGTTTTTTTTTCTTTCATTGATATAGTATTGTTTTAAGGTAAAATATTATACTCTTCAGTCCAGTATTGCACAGAGGCAACAACGATTGGCGCATTTATGTAAAGATAAAGCTTGAAAGATATAATCACATCATCAACAAATCAACAAAGTTGTCTGAGAGCAGAAGAAGCATTCAGCAATACTGAATATTAACTTGTTATATTCTGGTGACTGTTCGTCCCGGCTCAGATTAAAAGCTACACTCATGACATCAAATTGTCCGTGCCCCGTCGTGGAGCCCTTTTTTTTACTAGATTTGTTAGATGGATGGCAACATGTCATGGTGGGTGCATTTTGCTGAAAGGAGACGAGGAACTGAAATTGAGATACCTTCAAACGACGCCTTTGGCTCAGATGGCAGTCAAGCGATTGAACGGAAATATAAATGGTATAATAATGGAGGTTCACTCTTGAAGTGTCGTGACTGTCGCATGCTCGAAACATTTGTCTGATTCACATTTAGATAGGAAGTCGTTGATGAATTAAAGCGGTTAACTTCAATAGTGCTTTTTGAAAACAAACATTTTTATCTGTTCTATTTTAAAGATACACAAACATCTTGGAAGCAGATAAAGCGTTCCACATTGGAAAAGTGTCAGAGATTTTGATTCATGTTGACTTCATTATATCACCTTAATGCTACCTGAAATCTGCAGCGTTCAGTGACTAATGGGCCCAAAAACAAAGGAGCTTTTTTCATTATTATTATTTTTTAACATTCAGTGCCTGTAGTGAATACAGATAGTCAGATTTAAAGCAGGTTATCATATCAGGTTTTGGTCCAAAAGGGTTGACCTTCTTCCGAAGCAATGATCTAAATCAAATATTGTAAGATTAACCAACAATGGTCAACACAGAATTTTAAATTGTAACACTCTCCGCAATTCGCTCGCCAAAAGTCT